AACTTAAAATTTTATTGGTGAAATTACTGCATCAAGCATGGATCCCCTGAAAGGTGATTTCTCCTCCATCCCCACTTCCTTCTCTTCTCCCTTCTCCTCCACCCCCACTTCTAATTCCCATCATCATCATCAACCAGGAACCTTCTAAATACACACCTCAAAGTAAGTGTACTTTACTGCATTTTTGTTTTTACTTTGTGTGTACTTTTCTGTGAGCTGGAACCAATTACCCAATATCCCATTGAAATAATGGATTCGGTTAACGAAATTCTCGTTTAACGAACGACTCTGTGGAACGAATTGTGTTCATTAACCGAGGGACCGCTGTACACAGCGCAATCACTAATGTCGGGACTCAAAAATACGTAATGTGAAAAATATTTTATATGACCATGGCCGTATTATGTCCGGGTTGTCGTAAGTCGAGGAGAGACTATATTTGTTGTATCACTTTTTTATGCAATTTATTGTTGATGATAAAAAAATTAGATTCTGCACAAGAGTCTTTCTATCCTGCTGGACATTTGTCTTCTGTATTTTTAAAATTCTTTTATGTTTAGAAATATTGTACGTTGTCATTAGATTTCTGAAGATCCTTGGTTGGTACTAAACTTCAATTGGTACTACCCATTTCTCTCTTAGAACTGTATTGTACTGTATTATGTTATTATAAACTATGGCAAGGATGAATGGATGGCTGAGAATGAGGGGGGAATCTATGATTTTCTTTAATCCAACTTCCTTTGCATCAATGTGAAAGTCTTAAAATGAAAGCTTAGAATGTGCTGAATAAAATTGTCTGGTATTAGCCATATAACAAATTAAAAGTTACATGATTGCATGCCCTTAGTGAAGGGGTTAATGATTGCCAGAGGCTAGTAATTCAAGTACATTACAATACAGTACAGTATTTCAAAACCAGTGCAAACATATTCTATACATTGTGTGCAGTACTGTACTGGAATGTTTATCCTTACAATACTGTATACTATATAACCCCTATCACACTTGATTACAGTAATCCTTGGATATATTGCACCAATATTTAACTAGAAGGTAGACTGAAACCTCCCATTCCTTAGATACAGTAGTTGTGGCATTTGCTCTGTGTGCCATCATTTGTCATGTGTATGCTCACTGCTAAGGTATCAACATTTTATGTATACAAGCAGTGCTGTACACTCCACATTTTTGCTCATCTCTCCTGTACTCCAGTCTATTTCTTACCTGCAATTTGCAAGTCACAATTCTCAACCAGGTAAAAAAAAACTACCTGTTCAAAATTTATGACATGGTACAGTATAGTATGCTATACTGAGTATTTATATATGGTAGTTAATTTGTTTTATACTACTGTACATGTACTTGCAAAACCCTTTCACATTTTGGTACAAAGTGGATAAAATATAGAGCAAGACAGACTCCAATTCTGTCATTCAATCATTCTAGCTGCATTATCAGATGTGTTATTTATATTAATGATGAACAAAATGGGGTTCAAGCTAAATATAGCTAATAAAATTATCTTCTCATCACAGACAAGCAGCAAATATAATTTAGTATATTGATGCCAACTACATATAGGATTTATTTCTTAACTAAGTAGTACAGGACTGTATAGGCAGCGGAAAAGTTGCAGTATGCCTATAGGGTGAGTACCATATTTCTATACAAAGAACAGTATACAGTACAGTACTCGGAAACAACAATCTGTATTTATTATCAGATTACTCTTATTTATCAGTCAACAGAATTATAAGGGTCTCTCTCTGCTGTGAGGAAATCAAGTGCAAATACAGGCAGTCCCCTTTATGCATTGGGGTTTCGTTCCAGAGAAATGTGGCTTATAACAAAACAACGTATTACGGAGAATTAATTCCCATAAGGATGAATGTAAAAGCCTAGATAATTTCCAAAACCCCCTCTCATAACTTTAATTACCCTTATAAAGTAGTACAAAAATACATTTAGTAACACAATACAGTGTGTAAAAAAATAATACTGTACATGTATATTCTGTAGTTCGACCCTCTACATTTTGCATAAAAATCTGAACTGTACTCGAGTATATACGGTACACAAATATGTAATGATAAAGATTCACACGACGCAGGGGATCACTTAGATAAGTATGTCCTACACAAGGGAGGGGTGCTGGGTAAACTAATGTCTCTCTGGGCATGTGTTGAGAACCCACGGAGAGCATCGCTTTGCACACAGCCCACACACAGTACTCTCCCCCCACATGTTCACTCCATTACTCACCCAAGCAGACCATGTAATTGCAGAACAACGACTTACGTATATAAAAAAAAGTTCCTAAATAGCCGAGTTACAGATAAGGAGATGATGTATAACAGGAACCCCTGTACTTGAAACTAGATGATCCTGAAAACAAATCTCTCATGTTGTACTAAGTTTTTCATTAAAAATGGTGAATGTATCTTAATTAAATTTCAACACAGTCACTCATAAATCAACATTATATCTGGTAAACTTAATTTGTTTTGTTAAAATTGACTTCATTACTTTAAAGTGATGACATTAGAATTATTAGTATCATCTTTGACACATTTTGGAAGCTGTTTCTGAATTGTAATTAATAATTTGTTTGTTATTGACTCAAGTATTTTTGGTTATGTGATTTTTCTTATAAGTAACAGTGACAATGACCTTTGACCTAGTGATCCAAAATCAGATGGACCCATTATTAAACTTAGTACAGTAATCATCTGTGAAGTTTGGCTTACCGGTACATTGAAGACCAAGTGTTGTGTGGGGAACCAAGTACTGACAGACTGACAGATGGATTGATAGATGAATGGAATAACAGATAAGCAGGATCAGCGCTGTGTCCCCCTTGGTCTGTTAGTTGGAATGGAAATAACCCAAGATCTTCATTTTAGTATGTATAGGTGTGTGTTGTGTTCAGTGTGGTGCCTTCTTTCATGTCTGTATCATATACTGTACAGTAGTCTTAACTTTTGTTCTCTTTGAATATTTGTATTTTATTTATTTTTTATATAAATCGATGTAAAGGTAACATTTGTGTCCTGTTATTTTATTTCGTTCATCATCATCAATCATTTTACTTATTGGGATGATTAGTTCATATATGAAAATAATTTTATTTTTATAATGCAGCCATAGCTTTAAATTTGGGAGAGGTAAGGATATCTGCATCAGAGATAACAAAGCTAGATAGGGTGAAGAACTGGTTGTTAGAAGAGGATGCAGTATATGATCAGTAGTAATGCTTGTAAGTCTTGTTAACCTGAACAGTATTTGAGAGATTGGTAGTAGGACTGCAATGTAATACAGCCATTAATAAACCTAAATAGGAGAAATATTGTTATAGAAAGGAAAATACTCTCCTTGACTGCCCTGAACTTCTCTCTCACATATTACAGTACTGAACTTGCTTAATGAATTACTTGGATTTTGTCACAAGCGTATTTTGAATGAATGATGGCATCACACATGTATCTCCAGGTCCTCATTCATGTGTATGATAATAGTACAGGTATCCCTCGTTTAGCGTTAATTTACTTAACGTTAATCCAGTTTAGCAATATAAATATTTATACACCCTTTTTCACTTAGCGATAGCTTGACTCACTGGGAAGGGGAAAAACTGTGGGTGAGGTGGCCTGTGAGGTGGTATGTTGCCAATGTTACATGTAATGAAACTATAGATATTGTGGGAAAATCAATAAAGTTTTCTCATGTGCCTGAGAAATAAATAAAATATATTATAAAAGTAATATAAAATTATAAAATAAAAAATGAAGAGCATGGGTGTACAAGGGGTCCCCGGGTTACAAATGGTTCCGTTCCTGAGGACGTTCTTAAGTCGAAAATGTACATAAGTCGAAGCACATGCTTTGTGCATACCGTACTTACAGAACAATGTTTAAAATCCCACTATATTATAACCTAAGTCTTTATATACATCTAAAATCACTTTATTTAAGAGAAAAGAAGAAATAGATTGACAAAATACAGTAAATGAAAGTAAAAAATAAGTCATCAGGTAAATAAAATACTGTAAATTTAAAGTTTAACCTCATTTGTATCGGCGAGCGTTCGTAAGTTGGGACCCCCTGTATATGTGTGAGAAATAAACATCTTTGTGGAACCAGTGGGCTGTAATTGACGTTGCCTGCTGGTCCAGCACCAGCTGCTCCTTTCCCCGATGTGATGTAATGGCATACACAGCGCAGCAGCAGCCACATGTCTTTGAGTCAGCTGGGTGACTGCCTGGTTGAACTGTGTCGCATCGCCCAGAGGATGGTTTGAGTGTGGAAGGAGCTATTTTTTTTTTTTACATAAAATTTGTGCTATTTTATAATATAATATGCTATGTGTAAATTTTATTGTTTATCATAGCAGTTTTTGACATATGTAATATGAAATTTGTTCAAATTAAGCTCGCCTGTTGTTCACTAAATCGTTTAACTCTGAACTACATAGTTTATATATAAATTTGGTGTTGAAAAATGAATCTTTTAACTTCAAAACCGTTTATAATAAACTCATTATTATTAGGGGGTACAGTACTGTACTTAGTGTTTATCGCATTACCATTTGAACCTGTTGTTCGCTCTCCATGTTTTGTTGTTATCCTTTATTCAGCAATAATTTCGCTTAACGTTAGGTTTAAAGGAATGCAACCCCATTGTTAAACAAGGGATACTTGTAAGAAATCAGGTGTGCTAGAGGATTTTCTACATGTAAACTCATCCTTGTATGATCTTACTGTATAAGTACAGTTCATAGCATCTTGGTCTGTCCAAAGTCATATATCTTTTGGAGTCTTGACCATTTCCTCAACTGTTTCACTACAATGAAGTTATATCAGTACATTATACTATTGTATTGTATAAATAAAACACTATTAATATACTTCAACTATAAAATTAAAAATATGTTGTAATACCGGTACATCCTGTGGTGTCATATATATGTGCTCATTTCCCTTTTTCTTTATTTGTTGACAGAATCTGCAATGAAGGTACATAAAAAAAATATAAATGCCACGCAGTTACCCAAGATTGAGATTAAATCTACAGATCACATGGAAGGTAAGCTGATTTTATATTTGTTTCATCTCCAAAATCACCAAATCGTTTAACGTAAAGACTACTCTTACTCACAGGCTGACGAGTGATTGACACTTATTTTTGAGAGATTTTCGTTAAAAAACTTGTTACAAATTGACGGCCATGTAGTTTTCATGGCAACAGGTGTAAAGGTTCTTGGCAACAGGTGTAAAGGTTTCATGGCAACAGGTGTAAAGATTTCATGGCAACAGGTGTAAAGGTCAAGTTTTTATCTTTCCAGTCACTGTTTAAACTGATGTGCAAGAGGGCATGAAATGTGTTGAGGATAAAATATTTGGTTATGTTGTATCTAATGTAAAAATAACCCATAATCCTAATTTTGTGTTTGTTGTTTCTCACTTAGACACAAGTAAAGTTGTGAAAGTACCCATTGCACTGAGGAGTAAATGGTCTTCTATTGGAGTGTCAACTGTAGTACTGGGACTTTTGGCTGTCCCAATAATTGTCCTCACTGCTCTTACCCTCATTATACGGGCGAGGGGAACTGGTCTGTATGGATTTTATGGTTCAGTGATATATTTAGTGGAATATGGCACAATTTACGTAACCTATTTTTTTTATAATGCAATATTTTAACTTTTTCTTTTATCAACAGGACGTTTCAAAGTGAAAAATCTCCATAATGGATCTCTGGGTGCATCTGTCCTTGGTCGCTCAGGAAAACATGAAAATGGTTAGAAATTGGTTCCTTGTTAAATAAACACCATGGATTTGAGAAAGTAGCAACTGAAGATTTAGACCTTGATGGTCCAGACTAGGCGACTCAGACATAGAAGAATTTTCTCAAGTTGCAACTAGAGCGTGAAAATTTTATTTAGTTTTAGTTTTTTACCAAATCCCTAGATAATTACCTATAGAAAATTAATAGGCATATGCTTGTAAAACATTTTTAAGAAAAACTAACCAACTTTCAGTTTCAGTATAATCAGACTGCATATACAGTATCCAGAATCTTACACTGCTTCCCAGAATTAATTTTATACCTATGCTGTTTTAAGCATTTTTAAAAACTACTATGCTCTTCCAAACTTCCCAGTAGACTGTAGAACCAGTTGGAGCCAATAAATATTTGTAACTGAGAAGCACACTGCAGTTGCAAATGAAAGGTTATTGTTACCTACCAAATATAAGGTGGGTAATCTATCATTTTACTGGAGGATGATATCTCAGTTAGGGTAAACGGAAAAGTCAAAGTAAAGGGAAAGGCTGTATAATGTCATAACACATATTGATTCATAACCATTACCTTAGTTACCTTGGCCCTTTTACTTCCCATAGTGGATGAAATTTAGTGCCCTACGGACATAAGGCTAGAATGACCAGTACTAAACCAGTTGTAGATGGATCAAATTAAGAGTATTGTACTGTACAGTACTGTATACCAAGTAAAGTATGTCTTGTGGTTGGGGGACTTTAATCTAGGCTCTTGAATATGATAGATAAGTGCTGAAACCACTTGGTCAAGACATCCACAGCATGAAATAACTCCATTTATAAAAACCATGTTGTCAGTCCATTTTCTATAAGTAGAGATTAGGAGTAGGGAAGCAAAGAGATGTGGAGAGGTAGAAGTAAGAGATGTGAATTACTTTTAGGGAAAAGTTTGGAGAGTTGGTGTGTTAATCTGACTATGAGTCGAGCCATCAGAGATGTAAAGACCACTTCCAAGGTGACGCTATTTATACAGAACTTTGTAGATGAGATGAGCTAATACGAAATATTTAATACTGTATTCGCATTTTTTGTCTTGAGAAATAGGGATGTTGACATAAAGGCAGTTAGTGAAGAGCGTATAATGTATGTTATCAGTACAAATCACAGTAATGCAGTAAGTAATAATTTATCATGATCTTTTACTTTGCTTTTAAAGTTTGTGGAAAAGATATCTTTAGATAATTTAAAGAGATATTTCTTACCTAAGAATTCTACGAAAGGATTTCCATTCATACTATGTAAATTATTTCTTTAATCAATTTTTATGTACTGTATGTATTAAGCGTATTTACAAGTTAACAGGGTTTATATAAGATAATTCCTTCCTGCTGTTTGCAATTTTAAGAGTAAAGCAGTAGCACAGATGTGGGAATTAACAACATTATTGTGGATGTTCTTAAGGAGCTCAAATTGGGGGAGCAAAAAATTACTAAATGTATTTGTGAAGACCTAATAAGAACTTGAAACATATTGAAATACAGTATAAGGAGAAATAATTTCACCTGTCTGATAAAGTAACAGGCTTGGAAAACAACAGAGCTTAGTTATAAGAACTTACAAACACGCATTGTGCAAAATTTATTTATAATTACAGTATTACTGAATGTTTGCAATGTGTAACTTACCATGTATGTTTGCCACATGAATTTGCCATGACAAACATTTACTCATGTTCATTAGTTACAACACAAACACACACAGGTATACACAGATGTACACACACACACTTATATAATCAAAAACACAAAACAAAACATACACTGTATACTGTATGTGATTACTGTACTTCTCATGTTGCTGTACAGTACTATTACAAAGCATTTTCATATATGGGAAAAGTCAAATGTAAATATAAAGTATGACGAGATATTTATAAAGCTTATTTCTTTATTGCAATGAAGACAAAAAGTCTTTACATATATTTTGGGTATTTGTTCATATATTTTAATGTTTATGTAGTATTTTGAATCTTCAGTGGAGAGTAAATTTTTCATAGTTTCCATTAACATTCCCTTTATTATTGACTGAAGTTCATTTTATGCATTCGAGTTTCTTTAGTTTTGTGTTCAAAAACATTTTTGGATCCAGTAAGTTGTGAATACTGCCTGCCTTCCCTTCTTAGTCATAGTCTGAATCAAACTATGATCCCATAGTATTGTTTTAGTTAGTTTTCATCTTAGTCTCATTAACACAGTACAGTACAGTATATGGAATATTTAATACTGTACTAAATAAGTTTTACTAAGTAAAAATTATGGCAGTACTGTATTGAGAGAAGTTGGTGTATTTAATATAATTTGCCTATGGCATGTAGTTCTCAGTAGTGAGTGGTGTGTATTATATATATAGTAAGAAATATATATTTATGTATGTACAGTTGCCCACAAGTATAGTGTTCCACCCCTCCGTGGCCTTTCTGAACATGTGACAATGTCAGAGTCACTTTATGAATGAATCAGTAATGTGACGAGAACAGTTGCCAACAACTGCTCTCCTCAGATTGCTGATTCAATCATAAGTGATTCTGACTTTGTCCATGTTGAAAAATGAACACTATACCTTATGAACCTTACCTTCTGATGATTAGGGAGAAAAGAAAACTTAACTGATTTATCAAGAAGTTGTGAAGTATTTTTAAGGGAAATTTAAAAATAATATCCAGGTATATTATTAAGCAGACATTCTGGAGTGTATATTTATGTACAGGTATTGTCTTTTTGTACTTGGTTATTTCATGAATGTTTTATATAAGTGCTCATAAGTTTGTGCTCCTGAGAGTAATTAGTCTGGTGTGGACAACTTTATGATTATTCTACAGTCTCCCAAGAAAAGTAAATCCCAACCATTAGTTAACCCTCTTTTTGTCTACTGCTTATGGTGCCAAGGTGAACACTCAAAGAATACATTAAAAGGGTATAGTACCCAGTTGCTCCATATTATGCATTGTTGGGGAACGTCATCTTCAGTTTTCTCTTTAATTTTTATCATAGGATTTTACCTCAATTTGTTCAATGTCATGTGACCACATTCAATATAGTAATAGTTTCAGTGAAGAATATTATGAGTAGAATTCATTTTTTTTTTTTTTTATGTGCAAGGGTTTTAACATTTAGTAAGCAATCTAATCGTAGAATCACCATCTTCGTTATTTCAAACAGCTTTACAAGAACTAGATTTGTATTTATACGGTTTACCTTTTATTCCCCAAATTCAATTATACCGAGCTGAAGTACAGATGGCCATTGTGCTTTTCCTATCTCCTGTGTGTAATGTATCTGAGGAAAACATCTTGCTCACCAGAATGCACCTGGAGCTTCTTATGTAAACATTTAATCTCTTTGTTGACTACAGGTCTACTTGATTTCATCTTTTTGACACTTAATATCTCCCCCAAACTATCCTTCAAGCTGTTGTCAAGTAAAGAACCCCTGAAAAAAGCCTAGGAATGGGTTAGTTAACACTAGAAACTAAGTTGGAGATACATTACTGAAAAATATTTAAATTGGTGAATCCGTTGCAGGGCTTGACTAGGTACAGGCAGTCCCAGAGTTAGGGCAGATCGACTTCTTAACACCTGCAGTATGAATGGATCTCAATACATTCATCACAATTGTTTTAATTAAAATCCAATTTTTAATTATATTACCGTATTCTATATTGTTTAACATCACTTTATTTACATTATTTGTTATGTATGGGATATTATTGTTGTTTTGTATGGGCAGGGTTGTGCTTTAACTTAGCCTAACCTAACCTTTGGAATTAACACTGTTATGACCTATAAACAAATCGACTTACGATCAGGGTCCAGGAACTTATCCCTGTTGTAAATTCGGGGACTGCCTGTATACCGAGTGAATGAGTCAAGTGTATGTATTCTAAGAGGAATGCTGACTAAATTAGGAATGTTGTTGAACAGTCTACCACAGTTTTAGCTCAGGTAACAAGAAAAATAAGGAACCCATTGCTAGAGAAATTAAAAAAAAAAAAAATTTGTTTGGATTGAAGACTAACATCAGATGTCAACATCACTAAGCATATATTCAATTTTTAAAATTGCCATTAGTTGTGGCTGGGAAAGTAACTCAATTTTTATTATGATAACCTATTCAGTATTCATTAATACCAGTTTTACTTATGCCAGATTTTTCTAGGAACACAACCCCCAGTATAAATGAATACAACCTGCACTTTTCTTTGGGTATATTAACACAAACCCTTTCAGTTCGTCTCATTACATTGTCTTTACTTATTTTTTCAGGTTTTTATGTATGGTATGCCCCCCTCCCCTATTTTTTATACTTTAATAAATGAAAATGTTGTAAGCATAATAGAAACTATTTATCAACTACCGGTATGACTTCCTCCTTGGTCTGACACAGGAGGAAAAATAATCCAAGTATATTTGACCCTTTTGGTGTGACTCTCGAATAGATAGCTGGACCTTTTGTGTGGAGGAAAAGTAGAAAATTAAAAACATAAAAAATATATGACCTTGCTAAGTTGTCATATGATGTGAAAGGGACATTTTAAGCAATAAATTACAGTACAGTATCTAACTACAATTTGTGTACACACACAAATACACATGCACACACATATATTTATCTGCATACACACATACACTTGTACACACATGTATGTACAAACACAATCAGACTGGAATGGGTTCATTTCATCATACACTAACCAGTACATTCACTCTTACATACAAGCATGTGCTCACACTGCAGTACTATGCATGATCACATCCTGCTGTGGGGTCACTTGGATGCACAACTAATCTTGGCCACGACTAAGAAGCATTGTCTGGCCTAGAGATAATTTGTGGGTTGTGGCTGCCTCCTTACATGCCAGCTGATCAAATGGGATGAGTATCTGACAATAAAATTAAAAGCATGGGCGGGAAAATTATTACAGTATCTGGTGTGGTGGTTACACTGGCATTGTTATTGTATGGGGTGCGGGAATCGAATCAAAAGGGTCAAGAAAATGGTCATACCAAAAGGAGAAATCAGAAAAAAAAATTGAGTTTTGAGTGTGATTCAGATTCTAACACACATGAATCAGGTGCAATGTTAATACAGTACATATGATACAGTATATTGTACAATTATGCAGTACTGAATTATGTAGATATAACCAATATCACATACACTGATTTTATTTTTATTGAATAATTTCTCGTTTTATATTTTCAGTTTCATTATTCATGTTTTCAAACTGCACTCAATATGTTGTGTAGTTATCCATTTTCCTCTGAATTTGTAATGTAAATACACTTTTCTTTATTCATGTGACATAAGTAAATATTAATACAGCATCTGTAATTAAGGTCACATGCAAAGAGTTTTTTCTTTTTCTTAATACTGTATACTATGTTTATATACACTAAGTCTTTGTACTTCATTCTTTATGTGACTGTTTACACATATATATGCTTGTACATGTATGTATGTGCTGTATGTGTGTTACCATTGTGTGAATGTTATAACTGTGTGGGTTAAGGTTAGTTTTAGGGGGATGAAAGTACAATGTTGCCTGAGGTAACTTACTGATTAGATCATTGTGTGTAAATGATGCTTACCTATACAGTACAGTATTAGCTCAATCATAACAAAAGCATGTGTGTATGATAAATTAAGATTTGATGTTGTGTGGAAGATATCTAATATATGCATTGTATTTACCCATTTATGAAAGATTTCAGCCCATGTCTTTAGTGAGAGTTTTATCCAAGGAGCACAGTTACCTGTATATGACTAAAATATGTTTGTGGGGATATATACTACTTATAGTATTGCTATGCACTTATAATGTAGTGAATGCACAATAATTTAAAACTAAACAATAGATTTTGTTGATATCCTAATTTTGTTTTTGCTGCTGTGTACTACAATTACCCGGTAGGCTTTTCAATCATAACAACCATCTCGGACACACATACCAACGGACTCTCCCCTTAAGCACTAGCTCACCGTCTTTCCTCTTAGCTCTTCATACTTGTCCCATTTATCTCATTCAAATAAATTCTTTAAGCATTTCTCCATCGTTACTTACCATTTACTCACTGTCTGGTCTGTGGTTCCACCTACACACTTCATAGCAGCATCTAAGAATACCATCTGTTGTGCCACCAACTCTTCATATAATATCTAATTGCTCATCAATTGTTGTACCTACAATCTTCATAGTACTGTACCAATAATGTGCATCCTCTGTTCTCACACCTCATAGTACCATCTAATTGCTCTGTCTTTTGTGCCACTTGGCCTCCTTATTACTATGTACAGTACTAAGTGCTCTAATAAATGTGTCACCTACACTCTTCATAATGTCATATCTTCCACATATTTCTTCATCTCACACACTGAACTATCTTGAAAATAATAGTAATTCTAATAATTATTATGTACAATGAAAGACAGAAGTCGTGTCTTGAAATTTGGTGAAAACATATGCCGAAGAGCTAAACTTTTGTGCGCTTTGCCTTGTGGTAGGGGGCTCTCCTAATGTTTCACTAGTTATATTTACTCTTCGGACAAAAACGCGTCACCACTTTTGTATTTGATTGAACTTTGTATAGTAATTTGATTTTTTCAGGATGAACTTTTTATAGCAAGCACGTTTGTACCTCCTTAAAACTACTGGACAGATACAGCTGCCTAGTTGAAGAGTTACAAAATATGCTGGACTCCAAGTGGTATGTGTGATATTTATGATAATGGAACTCAGGTCATTAAATTATAAATGCAGCATACTGAACACAGTAGCTTTTACTGCAGTAGTGGTATTTATTCTATTGTTATAAAGAATGAAGTCTAATTGAGTGAGCATTTTATGCTATAACACCAGTAAAAAAATACTTATTTGTAGTGTTTATAAATTATAGTATTACAATTAACTACTGTATATCAGACACACTACCCAGTCACCTGATGTATAAAGCTCTTTATTTTACCACTGAAGAGATAGTATTGGTCAGCCCCTTAATTATATTGTTCAGGAATGTAAAACTTTGTACAGTACATCAAAGTATATATGAAATACAGTCAAACTGTTTCAGTGACAATAACACCTGTTCTAGTCAGTTTTAAAACTAGAAAGGATCATATTAGTACCTGTACAGATTGTAGAAACTTTTTCATATTAGGGAATCATCAACCAAGTCCAACTGTTGCCAAGCTGGTGTGTCATCCATTGGTAATGAAGCTGTAGGAGTCACATTCCAGCCAATATAGGATATACTGTCCTGTCATAATGTATTATGATACATGTTATACAGTTCAATATTATTAGCTTTATTAGCATCTGTGTGTGTGTGATTACTTTGATAGGAGCAATGTTTCTCTACAAATGATATGACACTCGTTTTAATTTTATTTGAGATATTATTAAGCAAATCTTATCTGGAGACAAAGTTAATTTGTGAGTTTTGTTGTTGTTGAATAGAATCCAGTATGTAACTGGATTTTAATCCCAGATTTACAATAAAATTACCTTTACAAACTGCAGTCACT